TTTTTTTTTTTTTTCATTTATGTGTTTGGCACAGGATCTCACTCTGCAGCTCGGACTGCTAGTGATCCTCCTGATTTCAGCCTCCCCAGCGCTGGGATTACAGGCGTGCGCCACCACGCCTGGACTCTGTCACCAGCTCAGTGCAACCCGAGACCAGGGATCGAGCCTTAGGCTCTGCACTTGCCAAAGCAGGCACTTAATACACTGAGTTTAAATTAAAAAAAAAAAAATCTAGATCTCATCGGGCGTTTCCATCACTGCCAAGCTGGGACTGAAAACGTAGCAATGAGATGAGGAGCGAGGAGGCATGCAAAACTCAGCACCAATAATAAATTAGACAAAATTTTATTTTATTTTATTTTTGGTGGAACCGGAGATTGAACTCAGGCCCTTGCACTTGCCAGGGAAGCGCTTATTCTACTGAGCCATCTCCCCAGCCCGTGTGTGTGTGTGTGTGTGTGTGTGCGCGTGTGTGCAGTACCAGGGATTGAACCCCAGACCTAATGCTTGCCAAGCAGGTACTTATACCACTGAGCTATCTCCCTGGCCCAAGACAATTTATTTAAAAGAAAAAAAAAAGAAATTCAGAAGACAGAAATACGCTGCTCCAGAGGGCAAGGGCTCTGGGAAAAGATGGATACCAATGGATTTCTCTGAGCCCTTGAGCCCAGCTCACTACGCAGTTTGGGCTGGCTTTGTGCTCACTTCTTGTAGCCCCCAGGATGGTCTCAAACTTGCAGAGATCCTCCTGCAGGCTTAACCTCCCAAGTGGTGGGATTGCAGGCGTGCACCACCATGCCGGGTTTGGGGCTGCACCGTGGGAGCCCAGATTCGGGCAGAGACCACAACTCTGGGTCCTTCTGCTTGCCAGGTAGGTGCTAAGCCTCTGAGCTATCTCTCTACCATCGGCGGCCCACCCTACCCCAAGCTTCTTTTACTAAGGTTAGGAACGCTCCATTCCAGGTGGAAGTCTGGAACTCATCACCCACGCTTGGATTGGTTCCTGAGGCTATCTTTGGATGAGTCTCAGAAACCCTAACCAGGCACTTTCGTCTGTATTCCTTTAGATGGGTTTTGTTTAACTTCCCCCGCCCTTTTGTCCTTGTCAGGGCCTTATCTCTGGGCTGTATAGGTTAGTTAGAAGGAAACTGCCTTACAGAAAAGACAGTCCTAAGCTAGTAATTACCTAACGGGATGTGAGGCGTGGGATATAACTAAGCGGCCCAGCACCTGCCTGGCAAGCCCAAGGGCCTGAGTAGTTTTGTTTTGTTTTTGTCTTTTTTGAGACAGGGTCTCTCTACCCAGTTCAGGGAGGCCTTGAGCTCACTTTGTATCCCAGGCTGATCTCAAACTTGAAACGATCCTCCTGCCTCAGCCTCCCAAGTGCTGGGATTACAGGTGTGCATCACCACCCTAGTGCAACCCTCAGTTTGATTTCATGTACCAAAAATAAATAAATAAATAAAAGTAAAAGGGTATGTGTACCTAGTGCAGCAATGTAGTGATTCTACAGTGAAACATGTGTGTGTGTGTGTGTGTGTGTGTGCGTGTGTGTATATATATATATGTAAGAATTTCCTTCTAAGTAAGGTAGTCGCCCCTTCTTTCCTTTGTATCTACTGGGGGGAAGTCATCCTGACTTCCATGGCTCCTGGCTTCCACATGCTTTGCCTATCAGCCCTTCCTTGCCTACCAGTCTCTCCACAAAGGAGCAGGCCTTCCTTTGTTGTAAATCCTTGTTGCTTTGTCCAGTGAGTCCAGAGTCTAGAGGTCCCCAGATTCACCTCACTGGGCTCATCATAGAAAGAGGAAGAGGAGACCAGCGCAAAGCAAATACTGTATTGAAAATACCGCGGGAAACAGCACAAAGCCCCTCCAGGGGAGGGACGGGAGTGCTCAGAGCAGAGAGACTGCAAAATCTGGAGCACCAGCCCTGTTTTATGGGGTACAGGTCCCACCCAAACCCCCACCCAAGGTCAACAGCTGATTCATTGGATATTGGGCTTGTTGCTAGGGGTTTGGTTTTGCAGGCTAATGGGAAACTGGGTAGACTTGGCAACCTGGCTAGGAGGGACAGTGCTGTCACCCGAGGCAGGTGTCAAACCCACAACCTGTCAGCTCCAAACCACAAAGCTCAAAGTGGCTTGCTGGTCCTAGCTGCTTCGCCCTCTAGAAAGGGTGTGGGTCTGGCCTGCACTCCTGCTATATGTGCTATCTGCTCTGCTTTTGGGTTATTTTATCATTTTTTTGTTCTTTGTTGTTGTTGTTGCTATTGTTGTTGTTTTCTCCTTCTTTACTTTTGCCCTTTTAAGTGGTCCTAAAGGAACTCTTCTAGTAAATTCCTTTAGTCAGGATTAGCCATTGAATCTAACTGCAGAGGCAAAAGACACTTTTAGTAAGATTTTTGTTAACTAATTCTTTAATAAAACCTAATGAGGGGGGCCGGGGAGATGGCTCAGTGGAATAAGCACTTGCCTGGCAAGCTCAAGGACCTGAGTTCAACCCCCGGTTCCACAAAAAAAAAAAACCTAATGAGGCCCTTCATCTACTGTTTCCCCCCATACAGGCCACTCTGCCCTACAAAGGCTCTGGTCAGTTGGCCCTTGCAGTGGGTTCCAAGACAGGAAGATGACAGCCAATCCAGGCCTTCTCTGCAGATGGACCAGGTATGGGCTCTGGCCCACAACAGGAATGTTGATGGTCTTAAGGAGGCTGCAGCCCCCAAAAAGGGCAGGAGGCTGTGCCTAGGAGCACAAGAGGTAAAGAATCAGTGTTACTGGCCTGCAAACCAAGTTCCCTGAAGCTAGGGGAACTAAAAGGGGACAAACTTGTTTGTCCTAAGGGAGAGCTTTCCAACAGCTACAGCAAAAAGTGCCATAACAGCTCATTTTTTTTTTTTTTGAACATATGCGGAGGGAGGACACAAAACCCCCAGCTCGCATCACTACGAAAGACTCAAAAAAAAAGACTCAAAGGGGGGGGGCATGGATATAGCTCAGCAGCATAAGCGCCAGCCTGGCAAGCACAAGGCCCCAAGTTTGATCCCCAGTACTAAAAAAAAAAAAAAAAAAACAAGTCACCGGGGGACTCATGCTCACGGTCGCCCGGGAGAATCACCCACCTTTCTCAGCTACAACACAAGAATCAGTAGAGTAACAACATTCTTTTAGGGTCACAGTGAGAATTAAATGAGATGTATGTTAAATGAACAGGTAAGACAGCCATGGTGGCACAGGCCTGTCAGCCCAGCGCTGTGGTAAACTGAGGCAGGAGACCCAAAGTTTAAGGCCAAACTGAGCAATTCAATGAGTTAGGAGACCCTACCTCAAAATAAAAAAGGGCTTGGGGTGTAGCTCAGTGTGAAGGCCCTGGGTTCAATCCCTAGTACATCAAAAATAATTTTTTTTAACTTTAAAAAGATAAGTAAGTAAACATGGAGCGTATACTAGCCTCAAAGGGTTCAGGAAGCAGCAGCTGCCACTGCTGGGTTCAAATGTTTTTGTTTTGTCTTGTTTTGTTTTTTTTAATTTATTTATTTATGTATGTGTGTGTGTGTGTGTGTGTGTGTGTGTGTGTGGCCAGCTCAGCCCACCAGGGGGCGCAGCTGGCTGGCATGTGGTGCTGGGGATTGAACCGCGGTCCCTGTGCTTTGCTAAGCTTGTTCTAAGTAGGTGCTTTACACCACTGAGCCATCTCACCAGTCCTGGGTTCAAATCTTAACTCTGCTATTTCTTTGTTGCTTGACCTTGGGAAGGTCACCAAGCCTGACTTTCTCATCTGTAAAATGGGGATCATCTAAGGGTCATGAGCAAGATCCATATTGTTATGAAGATTCAGCCACTGAATTCTTTTTTTCTTTTTTCAAAGACTGCAAAACACTTCATGAGTCTGCACGTCATCGGTGCCCAGGGGCCACGCTACTCTCCTCTGTATCGTTCCAACTTCAGTGTCTGTGCTGCTGAAGTGGCACAAGGTGATTCTTGTCAACTCTTTCAGATGCTGCCAGGTCCACGGAAAACTTTCATTACTATTGGCTACTTGTGTTTGATAGGTTTTTGACGGTGTCGCAGCAGAGAAACAGGCAGAGGAAAAAGGGAAAGGGGCTTCATCATCTTGGAGGACCCGGAGAGAATTTGGGAAGATAAGGAATTCTCTGGACTGGAACAAAGGGAGGCTGAGGCATTTATGGCCTTTTGCCCAGGGTGAGGTTTGAGGGGGATGTTTAGATAGACCTGAGGAGCTGACTGGGGTCTTCCCTGAGGTGGCGGGAAGGGTGAAAGGAACCTGCATCCTGGGCCGAGTTGGAGAAGAAGGGGGGAGGCGGTCTCTGGGAAGATGAGCTGGTGTTTTAGAGCTTCGGCCATATTAGATGACCACCATAATAATTCAGCAATTCATACTAGGGCCAGAACCTGTCAGTATTGTTATAATTGCTATTGCTTATGAATCCTCCTTACAACCCTGTAAGGTCACCAGCACTGTCCCTTTCACAGATTTGGAAACGGAGGCTCAGACTTTTTTTTTTTTTTTTTTTTTTTGCGGAACTGGGGACTGAACTCAGGCCCTTGCGCTTGCCAGGCGAGCGCTTATTCTACTGAGCTATTTCTCCAGCCCCTAACAAAAACTCAGAGATTCATGGGCCAGGCCTGTCACAGAACTCTAAACTTAGGCTATAACAACCCCTCTGTTCCTTACTGTAAACAGCCCTTGTGGGAAAATGATGCCTGGAAAATGGTGGTTTGGGCAAATTGGTTTGCTTTGGTTTCTTTTATCTCTTTCTTTCTTTCTCTCTCTCTTTCTTTCTTTCTTTCTTTCTTTTTTTCCATTTATGTATTTGGTACAGGGTCTCACTATGCAGCGTGGACTTGTAGTGATCCTCCTGTCTCAGCCTCCCCGGCGCTGGGGTTACAGGCGTGCACCACCATGCCCAGACTTGGTCACCAGTTCAGCACCCGGGGGTGGGGCTGGCACGGCATGCGGGACCGGGGATCAGACCCTCTCGTCCTGGCACTTGCCAAAGCAGGTGCTTAGTCCACTGAGCTATCTCACCGGCCCTTCTTTTTCCTTTTATAACCACTCTTATTTATGAGAGGGGCAGCTGAGCTTTAGTACTACTTAAGAGCCCTCTAGGTCTCATTCTGAGTAACTGGACAGACCACCAGTGAGGTATTATGACCAAAAACAGCTGATATACTGTGGTAACCCCGCATGCTCTATGTAGGCAATAGGCTTTGGCAAAAAGTGGCCACCTTATGGTTCTTTAAACTATCACACCATTCATGGTTGGAACTGCTTTGTCAAAAATCAAGTAAATGAGTTGAAATTCCTTATATGCAGGCCTTCATGGTGTTAATGAAGATTCTAGATAGATAGGTAGATAGATAGATAGATAGATAGATAGATAGATAGATAGATAGATCTTTATTTATTTGGTACAGGGTCTCTCTACACAGCTCGGACTCATAGTGATCCTCCTGTCTCAGCCTCCCCAGTGCTGGCATTACAGGTAGGCATCACCACTCCTGGTTTCAGTAGCCAGCTCAGTGCCCCAGTTCTGGGGCCAGCATAGCATGCGATACCAGGGATCGAACCCAGGTCCTTGCACTTGCCAGGCAGACACTTAGACCACTGAGCTATCTCCCCAGCCCTTAATGAGGATTCTAGAAAGGAGGAGGGAGCTAAACTGATTGTTGGAAGAAGAAGCAAGGATTTTACACTCTCTCAGATGGTAAAACTGGAAAGAAGAGAAAAACGGAGAAACCAACTTTCCAAGTGCCCTGAATCCATCCCTGACCCCCCAGTCCCACAGGTGACAAGGGGCCTCTGGACTCGCAGCTCCTCCACCATACGGGTGCTCCATGCTCCCCCTCAGGACCCGCAGGGCAGGGCACGGGAGCTTCCCACTTGGGGCAGGACCATGTCCTCCAGGCAGCATCCAGTGCGAGGCTTGAATCAGAATGGCCTGCAGCGTATTCCTGGGGTTGGAGTCCATTCTCAGCCTCTAACTGTTTTTAACTGGAAGGACTCTATCATA